CTGGACCAACCATGCTGAGCGTCTGGCGGACCCCTCACAGGGCATTCCCACTCCATGAGCAGGTGCTCATGTGCAGTGCCATAGGAATTGGTGCCAGAAGAGCCTCTGCTGGGTTTTTGCCAACACCCCACTTCTCACCTTTGATTATAAAGTTCCTATGGATGAACAAAGAGCCAAGAAAAACCAAAGACCTTCTTAAGATCAGATAGGGCCTTCCCTTCCAGACATCAGGACTCAGTAGGAGGATGTAGTAAAAAAGATTGTCACAGAGTGGGTACATGGGTTGACAATTAGCCCAGTAGATTAAAATAGGGAGCCCTGAAAACACCTCTACAACTGCGGGAATTTGGTGTGTGGCTGAGGTGGCATTGTGGATCACTGGAATAGATGATTATCCATAAGGAAAAAGATAAATTTGGGTCTGTATCTCATACCATATACAAAAATTGACTCCAGGTGGAGCTAGGAATTAAATGTCAAATACACACCTTAAATTCTCACTAGATAATATAAGTTTATTAGTATCTTTAATACCTTGGCAGAGGGAAATGTTTCTTACATAAGACGCAAAAGCTTAAAGTTTAAATCACTAAAATAAAATATATACACCTTTTTTGTGTTATATACAGATGTGATAAAATTATGTTAAAAAGGAAGCAAGGGAGTGAGGAACATGGAGTTCATGTTGATGGTTACCCAGGGTGGGGTAGACAGGGATAGTTGGGTTAGGGGTTGTCGAAGTCTAGCCTTTATTTTAAACAGTGAATTCCTGGTGGCTTTCTACATTATTTTTAAAAACCTAATTATTAAACATTGTCAAAAGAGATTTATTTCTGATATGCAAGGCTAGTTAAATATTCAAAAATCAATTGATGTGATATACTGGGAAACTCCCTTAACTTGATAAAAAGTATCTTTAATAAAAAAACTTCTGCTAGCTTCACACTTAATGGTGAAAGATGGAATGCTTTTCCACAAGATCAGGAGGGGAAAGCAGGGATCTCTGCTCCCATCACTTTTATTCAGCATAGTACTGGAAGTTCAAGCCACTGTAATATGGCAAGAAAAAGAAATGAGGCATGCTGATTAGAAAAGATGACGTAAGGGCCGGCCCGGTGGCGCACTGGATAGTGCGCCGCTTGGGAAGCGCGGCGGCGCTCCCGCCCGAGGGTTCGGATCCCACATACAGACCGGTTCCCGCTCACTGGCTGAGCGAGGCGCGGGAGCAACACCGAGGTTTGCAATCCCGTTGCCGGTCCCTGGTCCGGTACGGGGGCAACACTGAGGGTTGCGATCCGTTGCCGGACACGGAAAAAAAAAAAGAAAAGATGACGTAAAACTGTCCCTATTTGTAGATGACACGATTGCCTATGTAGAAAAGTGCAAAGAATCTGTGATAAAAACTTCTGGAACTTAGGAGTTCACTAAGGTCACAGAGTGTAAGATCAGCACACAAAAATCACATTTCTGTACACTAACAATGAATATGTGAAAGCCAAAATTAGAAACACGATACCATTTACAATTGCTCCAGTGAAGTTAAAGTACTTATATATAAATCTGACAAAATGCATGCAGATTACAATATGCTGATGAAATTAAAGAAGACCTAAATAAACAGAGAGACATACCATGTTCATGAATTGGGAGTGCAGAAGAGCACTAAACATTAGAGAAATTAAAGAAGACCTAAGTTGCTACTCATGTTGTTCAAATTTGCTTCTCTATTGATGGTTGACTGCTTTTCTCTCAGTTATTGATGAGATATGTTCAAAGCTCCCACCATGGTTGTGGATTTTCTCTTTTACCTTTCAGTTCTGCCAGTTTGCTTTATATATTTTAAGGCTATGTTGTTAAGTGCATACAGATTTTGAGTTGGTCTCTTCCTGCTGAATTGATACTTTTATAATTATGAAACATTCTTCTTTATCTCTAGTAATACTTAAAGACTGCTTTGCCCAATATTAGTTTACCTATACCAGTTCTCTTTTAGTTATACCATAATATATTTTTTTCTATCCTTCTACCACCAATCTTTCTGTATCTTTATATTTTAAAGTGTATTTATGTAGTTGTTTGTAATCCTGTTTGACAATTTTGATCTTTTAATTGGAATATTAACCCACTTACAGTGCATGCAACCTACCATCTTATACTTCTTTTTCATTTGTTCCATCTCTTCCTTTAATTCTATTTTCTATCATGCTCCAAGCTGGCTATTTTCTTCCAGTTCACAGTCATTCTTCTCTATTGTGTTGCCTGTACCATAAAAATTCACCTATTGCATCCTTAATTTCCATTATTGCCCTTTCTGCTCTAGAATTTCCATTTTATTATTTTTATCTAGATTTTATTTCTTTGGCAAAATCCCCCATCTTTTCATCTGTTTTCTTGAACCTATTTACCATGGTTATTTTAAGGTCCTCATCTAAAAACTCTGAAGCAAACCACAATCACGTATTTGCTCTCAAGTCTGTGGGTCAGCAATTTGGGCTGCTCAGATGGGTGGTCTCTCTTAGGCTCACCCATGCATAGCACTCATATGGTGGCTAGGTGGTGGCTGGGTGGTCTCGGTTAGCCTCACATGTCTGGAGCTGTCAGGCTGTCAGCTGGGGTACCTTAGCTCTCCTCACGTGGCTTTTCCGGCAGGCTAGCTCAGACTTGTCCAGGAGGCAGCAGCATTCTAAGAGGATGAAAGCAGAAGCCGCAAGGTCTCTTGAGGCCGAGGCTCAGAACACATGGTCCACTTCTGCTGTGGTGGAAATAGACTCCAACTCTCAATGAGAGGAACTACAAAGGATTACACCCATCTTTAATCAATCACAGTCTGCCCTCTGGCCATAATTTTTCATATCCCCCCCCAATGAAAAATTCACTCACCCCTCCAAGACATCTAACAGTCTCACCCAGTTATAGAAATCACCATGCTCAAACTCCAATATCTTGTGATCTGCCTCCTCTTCCAGCCTCTGCCCAATGCCTGGCCCCAAAATCAATGCCATGTGTTTTAGGATACTGATACCACAGTACCCTGCTCTGAATCCCAATTTCTTTATCAATTATCTATTGCTGCTTGGCAAATCACACCTAAATTTGGTGGCTTAAAATGATCATTTTCTTTGCTGACAACTGTGGGGCAGAAACCTGGACATGGCTCAGTTGAGAAGTTCTGCTAGCTTTTGTTCTGGTGATTCAGGAAGCTGCGGTCATCTGGCCACTATTTGGGGCTGGTTGGTCTAGGATGGCCTTACTCACATGTCTGTGGGTTGGTGCTGGCTGTTGGCTGGGGAGACTCAGTTCTCCACCCCTCCAGCCAGTGAGCTCAGGCTTGTCTGCATAGCCGCATCCCAAGAGCATGTGAGTCATACAAGTGTATATTCCCCAGCATTATTCCAGTCACGTTAAATCATGGGGTCAGCCCAAATTCAAGTAGTAGGAAACAGACTCCGTCTCTTGATGAGAGGAGCAACCATATTTAAGGGTACTGAGCATACCACACCTTTAGCTCTGTTTCTATGGTCTGTCTTTCCCTTGGTTTTCAGTCTTTCTGTGTATGAAAACATGCACAGGCTCAATGGTATTATCTCCTGATGGATAATTTTATTTTCTTCTGGCATTCAAAAAATGCCTGGACAGAGCACCTTGCTCCAGTCAGGGACTGAGACAGTGTGGGGCTCTGGGGGTCTTAACTGAAAACTTCGGGTGTTTCCCAGTGCTTCTCTCCCCAGTGACATGAATCTGCCGAGTTCTCTGCTTATCTTTTTATTCTCTTAGCAGCTGTTTCTAGCTCAGTTTCTCTAAATCTCACCTACCTGTGCAGCTCAGGAACTCACACATGCTCTGGGGAAATTGCATGAAAGGGGGCTCACTGCTCTATGTCCCCTACTCACCAGGACCCTGCCCCTCATGTCCTGGATGTCTTTGCAGCCCTGGCCTCTGCTGTGTTTCTCACCAGCCCCCAAGTCCTCACTGTTTAATTGGTGTCAGTGCCCCACAAGATGCGTGGACAGATGCTCAGAAGGGAAGACCCTCATGTCCTGGATGTCTTTGCAGCCCTGGCCTCTGCTGTGTTTCTCACCAGCCCCCAAGCCCTCACTGTTTAATTGGTGTCAGTGCCCCACAAGATGTGTGGACAGATGCTCAGAAGGGAAGTACAACCTCGAGTCTGTGTCCTTTCTTTCTGGGGTCTTAGCCCTTCAAGTCTTTCTTGTAGCCCAAAGCCCTCAAACAGCTGTGTGTGGTTGCTGTCACTGTGGTTTAGTGCGGCTGCTGTCACTGTGGTTTAGTGTGGCTGCTGTAGTTGTTTCCAGCAGAAGGTTTAGTTGGGTTTGAGCTTCAAAGCCAGAAGGAAAAGCCCTCCATTCCCATGTTTCTTCCAGACGTCTTTCTGTGCACATACTCGTATATGTCCTCTCTTGTGTTTCCTTTTTGGATGATGTTTCTAGAAGGATCTGTTTCTAGAAGGAACTTTGGAGGCATAACAGGGCAGATCCCTTAACAGAGTGGCTCAGGTGGTAACTCCCTCCTTAGCTGTCTTGCATCCCTCACACATTCTGAGTGCTGCCTGTCTGGGGGATGCAGAACTACCCACCTCAAGGGGCCTTGGGCATCCATATGCACCCATACCCCAACTTACCAAGCAGAAGCCTGAAGCCCCAAGGGTAGAAGGAAGTTTCCATGACTGCCTCGAGTTAGGGACACAGCCATGGCAAACTCCTACCACCCACCTTCAGAGCCACAAGCAAGACCAGGGTCCCTCTTCCCATTCACGGGTGACATGAAATCTTTCACCTTCCAGAGCCTCTTGCCCCCAGCCTCCCTTCCAGCCCCCACCAGGACATGGCCTGGAAAGTCTCCATCCCATGGGGTTGGACATTCTCCTTGTTTCTGGCAGGGTCCAGTCCACATGCAGCAGGAGCTCTTGAACCCCTGACAGCACAGCGAGGGGATGACTGACACAGGGTGACCACTCACACCCTCCTCTCCTTTCTCCACTGCAGGCTACGGGAGCACCATCGAGCCACCATCAAGGTCATCCGGCGCATGCAGTATTTTGTGGCCAAGAAGAAATTCCAGGTGAGTTGTGAGCTGAGCCCTCTTGCCCTGGGCCGCCCGCTGTGGCAGCACAAGCCCCTCCTGGGCTCTCTCCTGCCCGCAGTGGAGCTGCTGAGATCACCCCCAGCCGCACAGGCAGCCTATCTGAGTCCTGACCCCTGCCCAGCAAACACCCTGTGATGACATCAGTGTTCGTCCCTAGGAAGCCCTCTCTCCCCAAGACGGCAGGCCCCTGGAAGGACGTGTCCCCTGAGGCCCAGCCTGGAGCCGGGGACACACGCTGCCTTCCTCCTCCGAATTAGAAAGCAGCATCCCTGTTGGCTCACTCAATCCTCCTGTGGGTCGTGAGAGGTGATGTTAGTGAGAGATGGGCAGGTGACGTCGGAGGGTTTGGGAGAGTGTGCAAAGCCTGCCCCAAGGCACCCAAGCAAGAGTGGTGTCCCCAGAGCCCAGAGCCCTATCCTGCGGAGCTCAGTGTTCTTGTGCCTGGCTCCCTTGCCCCATGTGAGTCAGGAGAGTGTAGGCGAAGCCTGGCCTGCGCTGTGAGAGGTGGGGTCCCCTTGGCCAGCTGGGGCTGGAGCCCTGGGCTCGCGTGAGCCGTCAGCGCTCCTCCTTGGGGTGGGGGGTCTCCTACAGCA